TGCCACTTTTGCCCTTTCTTGCCCCAATTCGAAGAAGAAATAAAAGGATGAGTCATGGCAACTTCATAGCTTTCCTCAGTTTCCTGATATTTAATTTTAATTTTAATCTATCCATGTTCCGGAAACAAAATTTCGTTAAAAATTTCTATATAGAATCGGTTTCGATTTGATTTTTAGCTTTGCCTGATGAAGCCTTGGGGATTAAACTGCTTCAAAAACAAAACCCACCCCCCAAAACCCTTGCTTTAACAGCTCTATAAACTCACTCGATCACATTAAAAAAAATTCTGCATTTTGTCTTTTCTGAGATGAAGTAGTTGATTTGAACATTACGTGGTGTAGGTTGACTAATGATGAAAGCAGCCAAGAGAAAAGTACCTTAATTTCCAAAGAGAGTGATGCTGTAGAAGGAGAAGCTAAAAGGTTAACCAAGTTGGGGAAATGCCGTTCCAGAATTAGCAAGGCGGACTCTTCTCTGGATTGTGGAGCTGATGCAGATGGGGATCAGCCTAGTCAAGGAACGCCTTCATCTCGAGAGGAAAAAGTCAGCAGCCTCAAAACTGTTAGTCGCATCCCTTCTTTCTTTGAGTTTATGTATTCGGAAGCTTGGTATTATTGTTACTAAGAAAAACAAATTGAGTGTGCAGCATTATCTATGTGATGTTTATGGCATCTCAAACCCTCAATTCCATGACTTTTAGAGTGAAGGTATACTGCATGCTTTCTTTGTTTCTTGACAATCTTTATGTGTTCTTTTAGGGTTTGGTACATGTTGCAAGGAAGATGCCCAAAAATGCTCATGCTCATTTTGTACTTGGTCTAATGTATCAAAGGCTGGGTCAACCTCAAAAGGTTTCAAACTTATTTGTCTCTCTGACTCCACCGTTTGGTGTATGTACAGTATACCTATTACAATCAATTTTGATTTTTCTCTTTTCAAAAGGCAATTTTGGCATATGAGAAGGCAGCAGAGATATTGGTCCGTTGTGAGGTGGAGATTGCACGGCCAGAGTTGCTTTCATTAGTTCAAATTCACCATGCGCAGGTGCAGTTATGCATTGATGTTTGTTTCTTTCATCTCATTTTTAGTATGATTGAGTGAATATTAGTATAAATCTGTATGATTTCTAATCAAGCATGTATCAATATGCAGTGCCTTCTCCTAGAGAATTCAGGGGATAACGGTTTGGATAAAGAGCTTGAAAATGAAGAGCTCGAGGAGATCCTTTCCAAATTGAAGGACTCAATGCAATCAGATGTTAGACAAGCAGGTGTATGGAATACCCTGGGATTGATACTTCTCAAAACTGGCCGTCTGCAGGTATCACTATGAAATTTTCATTGTTTGAAATTGTATTTTTCTCATTACTTGATCTGATATAAGTTTAACTATGATGTAGAGTGCTATCGCGGTTTTATCATCTTTATTGGCTCTCGCCCCTGACAACTATGATTGCCTGGGAAACCTTGGGATCGCTTACCTCCAAAGGTAAGGTTGTCTCAGTATGACATGTTTGTCTGGTTGTGGCTTTTGTTTTTGCATTTCAAAATTATGTTATCATGCCTTACAGAATTGGTGAGAAAGAACAGTATTAGCAGAATGCTGGAGTGCGGGTTGGAAAGGATAACTTTGAGCGGTGTTTGCAGTAGGTTTTTTTAAGATTGAAAATATTAACCTAAGAAAATCAAATATGGACTTTATAAGAATTCATATAAGGTGTATTACTTAAAAATACTAATGATATAGCAGATATGATTATGTAACTTTCTGATTCAATTGTAAAATGCTTGTGATTCTATTTTCTTTTTTTATTTTTTCTGGTTTGTCCTTTTTGTTTCCTTTCATTAGTTCTGGATTGGCTACAGGTATTTGTCGATTAGTTTCAGACTGCTAGCCCTTTTCAAGTTGCCATTGTTCACTATGGTTATGTCAATGAGTTTAGCAACTATTAATTTTTATTGGGAAGAGAAAAGCTTCATTTCTCCAACGCGTGCTTCACATGAAGCATGTTTCCACTCACATTTGGTCTTCATTAGCTGTAGGTATTTCTCAGAATGAGTTTGTACTTGATAAGCTCATCAGACTTGTAGCTTGGAAATGTCACATGAAGAAACATGAGCGATATCTATTGACCATCCTTGTCTTAATATTTCTTTCTTTTGATTCGTACTGATATTATGAATCTGCTTATGACTTGTACATGTTTTTATTCTTTGATGCTTGATATGGTTATGTCATCTATATTCGTGCTCTGATCATCTATTTTGCAGTGGAAACTTGGAGCTGTCAGCTAGATATTTTCAGGATTTGATCATTAAAGATCAAAACCATCCAGCTGCTTTAATGAACTATGCTGCAATTCTTCTATGTAAATATGGTTCAGTTGTTGCAGGTAAGCGTTTGATGAGCTTAAATTCTTGTTTCCCAAGTCTTTTAACTTGTTGCTCACATTGTTGTTTGGAACAATTTTAAATACAGTGAGGGTTGCTTTAATTAGTTATGTATTGTTGTTATTGATTGGATATCACATGGGCGTGCTAAAAAGAGGTAGTTTGAGCTCATCGTTTTCTCTTCTCAGGTGCTGGGGCAAATGCCAGTGAAGTAGCTGCTGGGGATCAGGTTACATCTGTCAACGTTGCGAAGGAGTGTTTGTTAGCTGCTCTAAAATCAGATCCGAAAGCAGCACATACATGGGCAAACCTAGCTAATGCATATTATTTGATTGGTGACTACCGAAGTTCCAGCAAGTGTTTGGAGAAGGTGCTCATGGCTCATTGATACAGTCATTTATAGCTTCTTTTTTTGAGGTTGTCTATTGGTGTCCTTTAACATTGATAGAAAGTCTTTCATTCCCCCTTTTTCATAAAATAAAGGATGCCATCTTTTTAGTGTTCTTATGTGTATAATGGAAAAATCACATACAATTTAGTTACTAACAAGTGCTTTGTACTTAAAACAAATACTGCCACATTGTTTTGTAGTCTTCAACAAGTTTTAGTAGTTTGTTCTTGGTTTTGTTTATTATTAATCAGGCTGCAAAATTGGAACCAAATTGCATGTCTACTCGATATGCTGTTGCAGTCCATCGAATCAAGGATGCCGAAAGGTCTCAAGATCCTAGCGAACAGCTTTCTTGGGCAGGCAATGAAATGGCTTCAGTGCTAAGAGAAGGAGATTCTGTGCCAATTGATCCTCCCATTGCATGGGCAGGACTTTCCATGGTTCACAAGACCCAACATCAGATTGTGGCAGCCTTTGAGACAGAACAGAATGAGTTAGTGGAGGTGGAAGAGCGTGCTATCTTCAGTTTAAAGCAGGTTCCATTTGGTTTTTTCAGTTTAGCTTTTGTATAAATTTAATAGTGAACTTTTTTCTTAAGTGGTTAGGATGGGTTTCTTTATATCTTATGGTTCTAAGCTGTCTTTTATTCGGTTTGTTATCTACAAGACAAACAGTTCAATGACATTTTCATCTTGCCTGAATATTTCTTGCATATATACCATTTGAAAAAGATGTAACAGCAATCTTAATCCAGAGCATTGTGAGAATTGTGTAAATAATTATTGCAGTAGATATTAAGAGTATTTTTAAGACTGCCGACAGTTGAATCTATTGCCTACATGTTACAAAGCATCCTGATCTTTTCTCCATAGAAGAATATGCTTATCCCAAAACTAAAGGTGAAGTTTTTTGTAATAGTCTTAGAGATGTATTTTTTTAATGACTTCACATGCCTTCTGCCTTCATTACCCGTATTCTTTCACCTATAATTGTTTATGGAAATGCTTGGTTTGCCTTGGAAGAGAGGAGAGGAGCCTTGTGATGTAATTAATGGGTTTAAAACTTTAATTAGCACATAACTGTTTTGTGCATCTTTGGGCTTCATGTACTATTCAGATATGCTTTTCATCTACTGATATTTTCATTTCATCATGCCTGCCTTAACCAGGCAACAGGTGAAGACCCAGATGATGCTCTGCAGTGGAACCAGTTAGGCCTACATAGTCTCTGTTCCCAACATTTTAAAACGGCACAGAAGTACCTCAAGGCTGCAGTGGTTCGATTCAAAGAATGCAGCTATGCTTGGTCAAACCTAGGTACATGGCTTTCTTTAATTATTCTTTGAGAAAAGTAATTGAAGATTGAATAATCAGTTGTAAGCATATATGGCTAGGTATCTCAATCCAATTATCGGAGGAGGCAGCACAAGCTGAATCTGTATACAAGCGGGCCCTTTCATTGGCAACAGTGGAACAAGCGCATGCGATATTTTCCAACCTTGGAAATCTCTATCGACAGCAAAAGCAATATGAACGTGCCAAGGCAATGTTTACAAAGTCACTTGAACTCCAGCCTGGCTATGCTCCTGCATTTAATAATCTTGGTCTTGTATTTGTAGCTGAGGGTCAGTGGGAGGAAGCAAAATTCTGCTTTGATAAAGCTCTTCAATCAGATCCATTGCTTGATGCAGCCAAGTCCAACATGATTAAAACCGTGGCCTTGTCTAGATTGTGTGCAGGCTTGTCCTCATTTTTCATTCCAGATTAACAGGCGCTCAAGTAAAGTAGGTAGTTAACTTTTCCTAAATAGGTTTTTAAAGCTGTATATAACACATTACCATTATCGAGGAAATGTGGAGGTGTCTTTATGTGCAATTTCTTTAATTTCCTTACAAAGCAATAATACAGTTTTCTTTGATGCAGTATACCATAATTTTGGTTGAGGTACGAGGGTGTTTTAAGATGTATTACATCTGATTTGAGGGCTGATTTAGTTTAAGCGAATAGATTCTTCCACCCCTTTGGGTAGCATCAACATTAGTCTCACTCAAGGTCGTCAGACTTTGATCTTTGAGTTCCGATTAAATGCATCTGTTAATCGAATCAGTTTTGTAGTCTGATGTCGTGGATATGTGATAGCATCGTTTTGCCTCATTATGAAGATGTTGAAGCAGGCCAAAAACAGAAACATTCCCCGCATTCTGTTATTCTTGTTTGTGAAAGAACGAGTCCTACGGGTTTGCTTTCAAAGATTTAATTCTGAGTCAGTTTTCTAAAGATCCATCCATGGATCTCCAAAGAGCTAGCAAAGAGTAACTTCAATAGGGAATGGCTTTAAAAATCAAAATGTGCAATCCCATTTAATCAAGAAAGTGCTTTTGTTAGATAAAGTTATTAATAAATTTATCTATTGAAGATTTTAATGCATTGAAGTTTAGTAAATAATCTGTTCAGTATTATTATTTCTGTTACTCGATTAAATTATTTACGTTGACCAAATGGAGGAACAAGATTTTAATTTTATTTTTGGTAGGCTGATCAAATGAAGGAATTTCAACCCTCAGAAAGTATTTAGTAGTTTGAATGTAGGATGATTTCTCTAAAATGGACCTAACTGAGACAACAAAGTCAAAAGCCACACCACAATAAAGCTGGAGTTGAGGTGACAACTTCAGTAGCCATCCGCGTGACCTGCAAGACACTGTGACGCCTTCTGGTAAAAATTCCAAAACCCCATCAATGTCTGTTTGTTTTCTTCTTGCCACAGGTTCAATCCGATTACTTTGGTCCTCACTCACTCACATTCCATTACCTCTAGCCGAATAAACCTTCGTCAACCAAAACAAGTCCTTCTTCTCTCATGTAAACATGAATCTCTCCTTTTCAAAGCTCCCTATCCTCCTCAGACCTTTCCTCCTTTCTCTCATTCTCTCCGTACTGTTTCTAGCGTTCTTAGCCACCCAATCCCCTCACCACCGTCTGAAAACCGCCCTCATCCAGAACTCTAGAAATCCTCCTTCCAGCAACAATTCCGCCGGCGGCCTTCGTATCCGACCAGGTTACTCTTCCTACAATGCATACATCGAGCGCCAGCTCACCAAAACCTTGAACCCCAAACTCCGAAAGATATGGACGACTCGCGACTGGGACAGGAAAGTCCGCGTCTTCGTCCGTTTCTTCGAAAGCCTAAAGCAAAGAAACCTTCTTTTCAACGATTCAAAAGCATTGTCCATCGGAGCTCGAGTTGGGCAAGAAGTGGAGGCAATGAGGCTGGTGGGCGTGTCGGACTCGGTCGGCATAGATTTGGTGCCCTACCCTCCACTTGTAGTAAAAGGAGATTTTCATGCACAGCCATTTGAGAACCGGACCTTTGACTTTGAGTTCTCTAACGTGTTCGATCACGCGCTGTATCCCTGGAAGTTCGTCGGGGAGATCGAACGGACGTTGAAGCCAGGTGGGGTTTGTGTTCTGCACGTGGCGTTATCCCGACGGGCTGATAAGTACTCGGCCAATGATTTGTATAGCGTGGAGCCATTGGTGGAGCTGTTTAAGGAGTCGGAACTGGTCGAGGTGAGGAAAGTTGATGGCTTTGGGCTTGACACTGAGGTTGTTTTTAGGAAGAACAATTATTAGTTGATTTTTTCCCCTTTTTTTCGATAATATATATATATATATATATATATGTATATGTCTGTACACTGTTTAACTTCATTGTTTTAATTGATTACATTATTTTTTTTAAGGACTTTTTTATTTTAATTAATTTAGGATGAATAATTGCAGAAAACACTTGGCAGTATACGTACGAAGTTAGTATTTCCTTTAGTATAAATCTGCATTGGGGTGGCAAGAGATGAGCAAAAGCCTGTAATTCATGAGTGAATATATCCAACTATCAGAAGGAGACAGGGTTTATTACTAAAGAAAACAACAAACAAGGTTGTTGAATATAAAAATACTACTAGTAGATCTTTTTTGAAGTCTCTTTCAGCTTAGCAATAGCCGTTGCGGGGAGGATGAGGAAGTCAGCAATATACTTTATTGAGTATGTTGGATGTAAGCTGATTGGGGTGAAGGACAAGTGTGGGAATAAGATTAAAATAAGATTTGGGTGCGTTTGTATTTGGAATTAATATATATATATGTTGATTATTATATTCATTAATTTAATTATTCGATTAATTTGCATAATCAACCTCACTTGATGTTTATTATAATATATTTAAATACCACTTTAACTTGTGTCAATAAGCGTGTATGCACGATTGGTATTTTTTAAAATTTTTATTATAATCCTTATAAGGTTACACAATAAATATGAATAATGATTATATTTTGATCCTTCTTTAAACAAAGTTTTGAACTTTTTGCAAGCATTTATAATAAAGACAAAAATGGAGAACATTTTGTATTGGGTTGGGGGAAAAAAATTCACAATGATATGTAGATAGTTCAATGGTTGGGTGGATAATGGATAGCATTAAGAGAGGTGATAGATAAAGGTAGTATTGATGGGTATTGGCCTGATGAGAGTTTGTTGTGGAATTTAATAGGGATAGAGAGTTGGGCATTTGACATTAAGAGGGTTGGGATTCTCCAACCAAACACCAATGGTGATGCATGTAATTTTAATCGCCCCTTCCCATTAAGTCAGTCATATATGTACATTTATATATCAAATCAAATCAAATCATCAATTATATTATCCTCCAAAGGTAGATTAGCTGTGTAAGCAATTTGATCCACATTTATTACACATGTACATGTGTGAAGGCTTCACATGGAATTTATAGAACCCAGACTATGACACATCCCGTGAACTTTTTGCTTGCCTCGTCCATAACCATATCTTTCCTTTTAACAAAGGTACTGTAATTAGACAATTTAATTAGCTAAAGTGTCTTAACGAGGTTTAACATTCTAAAGACTTCCTCTTGTAAACTAATGTTGAAACTCTTATACCCAATAAGATAGAATTCTTAATCACAAGACTAATCACCAAGAAGGTGGATTGGTTGGTAAGAAGCAATGATGGGAAGTGAAAGAGGAAATCATGATCAATTGGTTATGCTAGTTAAGTCGTTGCTTGTAATCAATTTGAGTGCTCAAAATTCAACACCTCTCATCTTTCCAGACTGGCAATGGCTTCGGCAATTCCATTGTAGCTCGTGATTGCTTATATTGTATGTCACAGCGTTTTTTTCTCGGTTTAATTATTAGTTTGATCTCTTCTATTGTTCTCTCCAACTCCCTCCATTGAAATGTGAAGGAAGGAAGCTCCATCTTTTCTCTTTTCCCTTCTTCAATTCTTTTTTTTTTAAGGCTAATTAACCCTTTTTCTTACCTTTGTTGGACCGTTTAATTACAATCAAATTGTGATAAAACCTCGAAATTAATTATGCAGTTCGAGTTTTAAAACCATGATGTGCGCCACATGGGCATATTCTATCATATTACCTTTTGTCGAGGACCACAAAGATTTTAAATAGCTAATGGGTTATCCCCTCAAACCCAAAGATATCCTTCGTTTGCTGTCGACTGCCCGACTTGTCCTTTTCATTTTATTTTCTTCTTAACGGGGTCTTCTCAAATGCCGTGGGAAGTAATACAATACAAAGACATGTCATGTGAGAGGCTAATGCTAATGCTTTCGGTTCTACTGTTGTTTATAGCTAAGCGAACACAGAGTTTCGCAGGGAACACCATGTAAACGGTTAGATTGGCACTACATTTTGATTATATCTCGAGGGAGACATTGGGATTCTTTCTATGAATGGATGTACAAGTTTGAGCATATTTAGCAGCAGCAGGTATCCATGGCAGTGTGTTACCACATGGACCTACCAATTTCTGGTTCTCACTTGGTCCCCCGTATAGTTTCTCTCCACCTGAATGCAGCCTAGTTGATAAACACTTGTCATTGTTCGGCATTGAGGTTAGATTGAAGTGCAGCTATTAGCCCAAAAGCCCTTTCCCACCACCCACCTCAATGCCAAACGGGGTGTAGGAAGCCCAACTTGAAGCTTCAGAGGTAATGAATGAGGTGAGTGCTGAACTCGGTAGTCACTAGTTTTTCTGTTTTTCTGTTTTTCATGGCTAAAACAACCGCACAATGAAAGGGTTTGGTAGCAGCATAAAAGAGAAATGGCTTATACAGTTATACCTGCGTTTTTTCTCTTCTCCATTTGTACCAAATTGAACACCCGCCAAGTAAAAGACTCTGATCGGGGTGTGAGTGACCCCTCACCAGTTTCGCATGACGTTATGCAACTTTCATTAATTAATGTATTAAAGATTCTGTAAAAAAAGGGAAAAAAAGAGATTAAAGTACGAAGGATATTCATTTTCCCCCTGGAGTAGTATCTTGGGCTGTTGTCATCTATCACTGAGAGAGGTGATAGATAAGGCCTCGTCATAACATCAACTAAGCTTAAAGGATCTAGTGTTAAACTGTTACATCAGCTAGCCTTTCACGAGGAGAATTAACAAGAGTTGGGCATCCAAGGAGTCAGTCAACATGAATACTATCACGAGAGACTTATTTCAGAAATGCAGTCCCTTGTAAGGTAAAGTCGGAACATGCCGTTACAGGCTGTAACAACAGCCGATACAGAAAGTATTCGTAAATCATCATTGAAAATAATTGGCCTTAAAAGTGTAGGCATCTAATTCTGGATCTCAACAATCAATTAAGAAGCAAAATTACTTTTAACTAACATACTGCTTCTCAAGAAGGCTTCCACAGAATGCCAAGTCGAACTGCTCTTCTGGTGGATCTCCAATGCAGTCAAAGACTGCATCAGCATTTAAGAAGTCTTCATCGGCTGTGTAACTGCAGCCAGAGGTAAGTCAATGTTTACATGAATTACTAATGGATGGTATGAAAGGAAATTTTCAGAGTAGCTAGATTGGCATTAAGATCCAGGACACTTTTCATAATCTTGCTCTCTTACAGGATGATGAAGACCTAGAAATTGCTTTCATGCAAAGGAAAAGGAAGAAAGGGGTAAGGGGTAGGGAATGGGAAGAGAACTTCTCATTTCTGGGCAACAAGCACAGTACTTAAGCAGCTTGAGAGCAGCCTATGCAAATTCCAGAGAATGAGAAAACTTAGAAGTGTCTGTAAAAAACAGAAATGTTTCAAAGGATTTCCTTCAGTTTCAAGTACCAAATCCATAATTTAAGATTTGCTTCTAGTTTGTCCCATCTGAAAGCATCATAAAGTTGGGACACTCCTTAACCTAGTTGCTTGACAAATCCCCGTATCAGCAAGTCTAACTGGTAAATTTCACACCCAGCTGACCTCTAAGTGAGAGAACGTAGCAGTACCAGAGATTGCAGAGGTCAGCCACGATTTGTTTAATGCAAGTGAATCATTTATCAGAGGTTTTCCCACCCACATTAATCAACCAATCCAACCTACAGGTTTTATCTTTTGTTAGAAACATATAATTAATTCGATTGAGCAAATGAGAGTTACAATCATCAGCAATCAAAAGTTGTTAGCATCCTCTAGTCTGGAAAAGTACTGTTCATAGCACCTCCCCCACTAATTAACATCCTTACAATTGTTCACTTCCACAAACTGGAATATGATAACTAAAAGTTCCCACAAAGGTACAAAAACAGAATATAGTAATCAGGAAAGAATTTTCATTTAAATGGACTAGTTAGTAAAGAATTTTCATTTATATGCTAAAAATAGTTACCTGCTCTTTGTGACTATGCATGTCATTCCTGCAGCTTTGGCAGCTGCTAGTCCTATGGCGCTGTCTTCTACCACAACACAACTGAGGAACAAATTGGAAAAAATCAGATCCAAATCTTAAGCAAATATAAACATTTTTTATAAAACAAATGGAAGTTAATAATAGAAAATATAGCATTTCAATAGGAATTTGCATGGAACCAACTGCCAGCAGGTCGAGGAGTCAGTAAGTTGAAATCAGTTTGAATCTTCTAGGATATTTAACTGATTTTGCAGTATTGACCAAGCACATTGTATGTGTGATTAATTTGTTATTGATTACATCAAACATCAGTAAGGGTCTATTATGATGCCATACCTTGAAGGATCAACACCTAGAGTGTTTGCTGCCAATGTGTAGATGGCCTGCCAGATAGAATATTCACATTTTAGTAGTAGATAATACATCTTCCATCTGTACAAGGATATGAATGAACTTTAACTAAGAACCATAAGGGGCCACACATTGAAATAAAGCATGCATAGTTTAAGCATGGGATTTAGAAGGAGCCTCTTCTGTTCCTAACAGCCAAAGTAGTTCATTCTCTTATTTTGCATCCATAAGGACAGAAGGCCCTGGCAATCACTGAAGTTAGATTTCTGTTTTCGAAGGTTCTGAGAGAAAAAATAAATGATATTATATCCATGTGGTTTCATTTCCATTCTATAATTAACTTTAAGAAGGATGCAATACTTACTGGATCAGGTTTTTTACGAGGAACCACATCTCCAGCAAATATCTTGATCTTTTCTGCTCGCTCTGGTCCCAGCAAACATGAAACTACTGCAGAGACCTGAAAATAGCATTCCTATTTCAGCTATCAAATTCGAAAAAAGGATTCAACTCTTGCTATCATATAATTCAATAGAGACTAAGATGATTACAAACTCTTTATCCCAATCCTAAGGTACAATATTTACAAACTTCAATCTGTGCAGGATCTGACTAAAGAAGAATAGATCACATAAGAATTCAGTATGAACCCTCTGTTTAAAACGTCAGGTTTATTAGAGATCTTCAAAAATGTGACATACTGGAACTTAGTCTATTATTCTGCTTGCTTAACTTTTTGAATAGCATAAATGCAATTTTAGATTTGCTGCAAATCATCATTAGCAAATTAAGTCAATACTCAATCATACAGTCTATCACAGTTGTAGAACCTGATTAGCATACCGCCTTCTCATTGGATGTGCTGCAGACAGCAACTTTTACTCCTTTCTCCAAAGCTTGATCAACCAACCTGTTTAACATGATATGATAACTTAGCAGACCAGAATCTGGAAAATGTAATAGCTGAAAATAAAACTAGTATTAAAGGACAATCATAGGTAAAGGAATTCCAGTGTAGAAGTATCTCATAGCCAACTCTGGAAGCACGTTTTAGTCACATATGTGATCGAATTCTTCATTTTTCTTGCTATTCTTTAGAAACATACAAAGAATCCCATTTATGATTAACTTTGAATCCTCCGGAAAAAGTTGATGCTAAACACAAAAATAGAGTAAAAAGGACTACATAGATTAGCAGAAGTAAGAGAGAGTGACTAACTTTGCAACACCGGGACGAAGAGGTAGCAATCTATTTTCAATGAGGGCCATGAACAACTCAGTCTTTCGCTTGTGAAGTGAAGCAATGAATTCCTTTCTTTCTTCTTCAGTCTTTGGAGCTTTATCTGGCCAGCCTGTCTTGTTAAAGTAAGCTGTCATCCTACAAACACAGAATTAACTGAAAACTACTTCAATTTATTAGTAATTTGAAAGGGTAAAAAGAAAAGGTATGAAAAGAGATTACCTTTCTTTTCCACCTCCTATTTTGAGCAACTCCCCATATAAATCCACATCCCATGTTACACCCAATTCTTTCTGTTCCATCAATTAAAGTTGATTATCTTTAATCCAACCATTCATCAAAATATCTAATATTCCCATAATGTACAGAAGAGGGAAAAGAAGAAGAAGGTAGGAAGTTTTGAGTTACTTCTTTGAAAGTGTCATTGAAGGAAATCCTGTGGCCATCCTTCTCAGTATCGACGAGGACACCATCACAGTCAAAAAGAAGAGCTGCTGGAAGAGTAGAAGAGGAAGAAGAGGAAGCAGCTGAGCATTTGATTTTGAAGGAGGTGCAGACTTGTTTCGTTCTTGTTGGCGTTTTGTTGTAAAGGAATGTTGTTGATGTAAAGAGTGAAGACGGTAAGCTCTTTCTACTGAGTTGATGATGGCTGCAAACAGAAGGCTTGGTTTGAGTGAAGGAATTAGTTGAAGAAGAAGAAAATGTTGGTAAGGAAAGGGAGATGGTGGTTGAAGCCATTTTTGTTCGGCTGGCTTCTTAGAGTGTCCTTTTGTCCTTCTCTCAACAAGGGAAGATTGATTCCGTCGGTTATGACTGGTGCCCTTTTAACGGTCGCCTGTCCCAACTTATCCGCCACAATTTCCGATTGGTCACCACGGAACCGGGTTGGATCCTATTTAGAATCTGGACCGTACGATAATCTATGGACACCATTAAAAAAGAATTTCTTATATTCTTCTTCTAATTAGAAATAGGCCCAGTTAAGAGCTAATCCCACAGAATTTCAGCCCAAATGTTTTTCGGCCGAAAAGCCCAAATTTTTAAATGTTCCTTTTTTTTTCTCTTTTAATTCCTCGATTTTTAGCGGAATCAGCCCTGTAGCACAATAGCTCCTTCTATGGAAAACAACATCAAAAGAAACTTGGGACTCCTTAGAACGTACGAACTCTAAACTGTGAGCAAGACAATGAAGCGATTCTTCAAGCCAATAGAGAAGGAAGGCTCGGCCAAGAAGCCCTCACTTGCTCCTTCGAAGCAAGGTGGTGAAAAAGGCGAGGAGGACATCAAGAAAGAGCCATTGAAGTTCGTGACATGGAACGCTAATAGTTTGCTTCTTCGAGTCAAGAACAACTGGCCCCAGTTCTCCGATTTCATTTCCAATCTTGACCCTGATATCATTGCTTTACAGGTGAATTTTCTTTCACTTTTTCCCTCTCTCATAATATTTCTTTTTATTTTAAATGTGGGAATTTGATGATTCTTTTCTTTAATCAATGAGTTTGACAAGAGCTGGGTATTTTTTATTTTTCGGTTTGGGTCTTTAATTCTTTGATGGAAGCAGATATTGTTGCTGATTTGAAGCTATTAAGAGGGTTATTTTTTACTTCTGATCACTCTTTCCTTCTTATCGTTTATTCTACCTGTCTGCATTTTCTGTAATTTAAAATGTTTGTTAGATGGCGAAGGGGTTGTTTTGCAAGTAGATGGATCCACTATGAATATTTGACAATGGAGTTAAATGCAGTTTAATGGTAATGCGGTTACTGATTATGAACTGCCTATTGGCTGAAAATGAGCTTATACTTCTGGCCCAGCATCACGTTTGTTTGTTGCAAAATTGGAACAAAATCTTTTGTCCGGTTAAATTCTTTGGTGGAAGGCATTTTCCTGTTTAGTTTTATTTGAAGATGTTAATAATAATGCAGTTTTCTCAAGGCTTTATTTATTTGTGCTAGATAATTTACCTGATTATCTTGAAGTTCTTTAATTTGCTCCTTTTTTTGGTTAATTCCTTGGATTTTTCTTTTAATCGCATTGCGTCGAATTGATTATGTATTGGTGCATGTCAAGAAACTATCTAATAGTATGTTAACGGTAGGAAGTAAGGATGCCAGCTGCTGGTCTGAAGGGTGCACCTAAAAACCCAAGAGAGTTAAAAGATGATACAAGCTCTTCCAGAGAAGAAAAGCAGGTAACTAATTTTCTCTTGCTACCATCCAACACCCATAGATATTTTTGCATAAACCTGAGTTTCCTAAAATCATGGGCACTGTTATTGTTTGATGTAGTTTGCCGAAGAATTCACCTTGGGCATTGTAGTGAAAATGAGTTTACTCTATTTGTTCTGTTCAGTTTCATTACTTGTCTTTGTTTATTACCTTAGCACATTTTTATCTCCTCCATGACAATCTTATGCAAAGACATTTGGATATTTCGCTCTAAATTGACTAGATTGAAATCTCTGGTTATACTTTGATGGCAGAATTACATTTTTCTCTGCAAGAGAGTTTGGAAATTCTTTATCATCATTTTCATAGTAGCATAGGTCTATTATTTTAATACATGCAATTTAGACTTTGTTTTAAACATGCAACAGTGTCTGTTTTTAATTGCAAAAGTTACAAATTACAGTCTGTTAAAAATCCTGTACAATCTGTAAGGATTCTTTGCAGTTGCATGGGTATTCTAAAATAGACGGTCTTAGTGTTTTGCATACATGTGCGCATGACTGAAGAGTGTTAGCACGTAATGGTATGTTACCATCACTTTTTCCCAACTAAATTATTCTATCAATTTTTGATACTCTACGTTGAAGAACAGTTTTTCACAAAAGAGCAAAAAGACAAAGGGCCTAAACAGCCCTTTGGAAGAATAATTTTATATCAGTGTAATGCATGTGGTTTGTTGAATATCTACTATCTACTCATAATTGTTCAAACCCTGCAGATATTGTTGCGTGCTCTTTCCAGTCCACCATTTGAAAATTATCATGTTTGGTGGTCTCTGGCAGATTCGAAATATGCTGGCACTGCATTGTTAGTAAAGAAGTGTCTTCAACCAGTGAAGGTTTCTTTTTCTCTCGATAAAACAGGTATTTTTGTTCACAAACATCCATTCTTCAATACAATTTGAGACAATTGACCTTTCTTTTTGGGATCGGGCCTAAATGGAAAACAACCTGCACGTCTATGCTTTTCTGAACTTCATAAAATATATTTCAATGTACATTGGGACAATCTCATTTCCAACGAGAGACATTTATTGTGTTATGTTCTTCAGTGTTTCTTTGAATGCCAATGCAAAGCTAGTCAATTTATATGCCTACTCTTTTTTGTTAGTTTCAAAGCATGAACCAGATGGCCGGGTTATTTTAGCTGAATTTGAGACAGTTTGTATATTGAATACATATGCACCAAACAATGGTTGGAAAGAGGAGGAAAATTCGTTTCAGCGGAGAAGAAAATGGGATAAAAGGCTTCTAGATTTTGTTGTGCAATCATCAGATAAACCTCTTATTTGGTGTGGAGATCTGAATGTTAGGTGAGTTCTTGGGGTGTTGAAAGGGTGGATGGACTTACAAATCTTGTTCAGTTTATACAATACGCTATCCCTTTCTGGAATGAGCAGTGTTCTTATGTATATTCTTTGCTTATACAGCCATGAGGATATTGATGTGACTCATCCAGAATTCTTCAGTGCAGCAAAGATGAATGGTTATGTTCCACCAAATAAAGAGGTTATCACGCCATCTGCCTTTTCCTTTTAACTAAGGATTAACTTTGATTTGAACCCTTTCTTGATGCAAGCGTTATGTGTTTAAGTTTCACATCAATTTTGATGCTTATATATTCATTATAAACTTGACCTCCAACACCAAAATTGTGATGGATATCAAAACCAGAAGACAAATTGCCAAAAAATCAGTGGAGTTAGTTAGATCACATTTGAAGGTGCAAATTGATCATCTTAGGTGGTCCACTAGCGATATTTGATCTAGCTCAAGATTTGATGGCTTGGGATCATTTTAGAAGTGAAAACTGCTGGTAGAAATATCACTTCAATTTTATCGATGGAGACCTTACTCATGATAATGAATGTATGTGTTGAACTTTAAATCCACTAAACTGTTATAGTTCCCTTAACATCCAGAGATGGACTAATTCCTGTATTGTAGTTCTGCATATTTATAGAATAACTGACAAGATAGCTCACAATGATGCACAGGACTGGGGGCAGCCTGGATTTACCTTAGCTGAGAGGAAGCGCTTTGGGGCAATTTTAAAAGAGTGTGTCATTTCTTCAGACACTTCTTACTTCTATGGTTTCCATCAGCCATTCATATGTGTTCAACATAAGTTGAAACTTATGATTATGAAAAGCTTGAGCTAACATTTTTCACTTATCTGCATATAATAAGATTTAGTCTTTTCTTATTTTCATTCCCATATACATCAAAGAATCTTGTGGATTATGCTTAGGGGAAGGCTAGTAGATGCATATAGATACCTGCACAAGGAGAAGGACATGGAGCGTGGGTTTTCATGGTCTGGAAATCCTATTGGGAAGTAAGTAGTTGTTGTGCCTACATAATTGTCATGGATTATATTATTTTTCTTCTTGTTATTGACATTTTTCAAAGGCAGAGTGACCATTAAGTTTTTTTGTGACAAAGATTATGAACTTGATTTAATGTGTTTCCCTATCAAACTTTACAAAAGAAATAGTTGACTAAATTTAGGTTGGGATGTACTGCTGGGTGATTTTATTGCAGGTATCGAGGTAAAAGAATGAGAATAGACTATTTCATAGTTTCAGATAAGCTGAAGGATCGGATTGCTGCATGTGAAATGCATGGGCAAGGAATTGAATTAGAAGGTGCAATTTTTTGGGATTTTTTATAGTACTTGCCTTTTTTTCCAGGATAAAACTCGAAGGCTGAAGCTAGTTGTAGTCGTTTCTCTATTTAGTCATCTTATAGATAAACCATGAGAGAAGAGCAAGCCAATTTGATTATTATAACCATTTATGCGACTTTACTCTTTCTTCTTCTTCTTGTGGGAGGGGTGCTTGACTGCTCATGTGGGGAATTAGCGGGCCTCTGCTGCTCAAAGTTTTTGCTTTTTCATATCTTTTTTAAGGATAACACCATGAGTTCAGATCTAGATGTGAACCACAAACAAAATACCAACCTAGGGAATGCAATATAGGATTGTCAACTTAAAATGTGGAACCTTGTCAGTTGCTATACTCGGTGATCCTGTTGGTTTCTACCCTGAGTTTTCTTCTTGCTGTCTTTGAAAGGCAGTACAAAAGGCACCGTTGAAATCTTTCATAATTGATGAGGGTGGTAGAATCCTCAAAGCAATCTTTAAAATTTACACTGTAAGTGAGTCCACATGCCCACATTTGCTCAGTATGTTTTGCTAGGTTACTGTGAACTATCAAATCCCGCAGCACCATCATCAAACGTTCATACTTAGATCCATTGCTCTCATTTATCAAACCCACTAGTACACAATATATATGTAATATAAAGACAAATGGACTCATTCAAATAGAAAAAAGAATTCTTGTAACTGTGTGAAACATTAAATTCCTTATTTTAATGGATTGATCATGAAATTTTGCAGGTTTTTATGGAAGTGACCATTGCCCAGTTTCCCTTCACCTTTCAGAGGAGTGCAAAGCAGCAAATTGACATGGTGATGATGTAATGGTATTAATTGTCATATTTAACAATACCTGTTTTGAATTTGAATCCCTTTTTTAGTAGTTTCTGGTTATTTAAACTTTCATTTTTACCACCGCCTACCTCCTTGTTTCTCCTCCGCTGCACCATCAGTTGAAGCATTATCAACCCAACGTTACTTTGACTTGATTGACGGAGTTGCAACTAACCACTTCCCCTTCCCCCAACACCCCCTTTTTTTTTCTTTTTTTAATTACAAAGTATAACAATTTTGGACCATTAATTAATATTTAGTAGGACATTATTATTATATACTGAATCTCTCCTCAATTTTGAGGAGAACAATGCACTAGATAAATATATATAAAGGCAAAAACAGAAGAAAATTTTGTTAGCAAAATGTTCATATGAGCAATGATCCTACTACTCCGATCGCAGCCGCATTAAAAACGGAACAAACGAAGGTGGCGGTAGGCACATAACCTTTTTGACACGAAGTTTGACAGATGCTCCTCCTCCATTTCAAAACTTGCATGCATTTACAAAACTCCCCAACATAATATCCAAAATCCAAGATACGATCAAAACCAAAGTCCTTTTAATGTGTGGAAAATTGACTTGCGTAAGAGGATTCTGATGCTCTCCTTTTTCAATCTCTAGGAATACAGGATTTGTTTCTTTCGTAACCCTCTTGCTCCATGCGGACCATCCAGAAAGTCAAACCCGAGCTTTCACTGTCAAATCGATCCATGTTGATACTTATATTTGGTAAACCTTGTTGTTTCTTACTTTCGTTGACTGCCTCACTTGGACCATGTGGATTGAATGATAAGTTAAACTCATACGCTCATGGTGTTTTCAACCCTTTTTCGGTGACTAATATCTTTTCTTCTTTTGGGTACTTACTACTACTTGACATGTGTTCGTGTTAGCTACGATTTCTCATCTTTTGAGTTTTCCCAATACAAGGTACGGCTCAAGTCAAATGCATCCTTAGTATATAAATTCTATATACTTGTACTTAATCATATATTATCTCCAATTTAATTTGTTACTCAAGCAAACCAAAAAGATCTTACTTTTACATCAATTAATAACTAAGATAAAAAAAAAGGTAGAATGATGATATTAATAATGCGATCTATCTTTTTATTTACAATTTAGAATTTGATAGTAATTAATATCTTTCGAAATCAATCATTTTCACTTAAATTAATAACTTCTGATTTATAATTATAATTAATGTTTTGAAATATATAAATTATTATTATTTTTTAAATAATAAGGTATAAATTATATAAATAAATACCCAACTTATTGTATTTGTTTCGGTACATTGGAAATCAAAGCAAAAAGGAAAAAGCAAACGGATTTGAGATCATCCACAATGGTATTGATAGGAAAATGTCATGGTTTTCAGCAGTTTCAACCACACACTGACCTGTTAAATGCTTCTCCAACTGTCAATCAATCAACAATTTTGTTTGCTACACACTAAAAAGACCGCTACTACTTCTTTTCCCTCTCAATCATTTTCTGATTAGCCTCCCCCCCACCAGTAAGTACGCCGAGGACCATTAAAGGGGATCCACTTTATATAGCCTAAACTCCTATTATATAATCCTCCTTTTTAAACCAGTAAAACCTTCTTCTCCATGTATTATCCATTGATTTTAAGTTGATTTTGATGATATTAAATATCACCCCTCGAATTTAAGTTTTGTGTTCAAATTTCATCTCGATTTTATTTTTTAGATTAACTTAAAAATAGTTTGTATGCACGATAATACTTGAAAAGGTTGTTGAATTATTTTTTAAAAATATTAATAAATTTTTATTATTTTATTATATTTAATCAAATCTTTGTGTTATATTTTAAATTAAATAAGATAATTAATTAATAATTATTAATCAAAATACTATATCTTTTTATACTCACATAACACTTATTACAAGATTATTATTATGTCATATTATCATCAAATATGACATGTCAACTTTAGATAGTATAAGATAATATAGTGATATTTTAATTAATAATAATTAATTAATTATTAAAAATAAAAATTTATTTAATTTAAAATAAAAATAAAAATTTTATCTTATTTTTAAAATTTTTTAAATATTATGTTTCTATTATTTTGTGGACAAGAGGTTAATTACAAAACGAAGAAAGTGCTACTTGTATTTTTTTAATATTATAAGAAAGCTATATGTCATATCACAACTCCTTGTTTTATTCTTCATATTATTATATGCAAGTTTGATTCATTCTCAAACAAATCATTAACTCATGACACAAAATTGAATAAATAAATGAAGGAGGGAAGGAAAGAAAAAGGTACGATGGCATTTGGTATTAAAGTTTAAGGCTAGTATTTATTTATGTGGGTGGGTGCTTGTCTAACGGAATCTCTTTAGATGCCTTGTCTTTAATCAAATGGTATTATGGTAATATACGTACCAGTCAATATTACAGCCAACCAGTCATCTAAAAAAAGGTAAAACGAATAAAATAAGAATAAAAAATAAAAATATAAGAAGAAAAACAAAACTTTGCTAGAATGGACCTACAGTGATCAAGCAAGGCAACCAATCATTTTATGACACGCAAATCTATGGGGTTTGAGAGAGTCAGATCAAAAAAATCTCATGTGGTTGGTTGTCTTACGGACGCCCTTTTGACTGCTGTCAAGTCAAAATCAAAGTAAAACACACTGCCTTCATATTACGAAGCAATTTTGTTTATTCGTTCGTTCGATAAATAATAATAGTTTTTATTGCATTTTAAGTGAAAATTAAATGGTAATAAAATTAAAAGATGACATCAGTCGTCAGAGCAATGTCTTTTTATGGAAAAGAGAACGGTAAGAAAACCTAGTTACTATTTAACCAGATATTGGAGAAGGACGCAAGGCCCCATTATCCAGAAATTAGAAAACCAGAAAAGAAGAGACAATGGCAACAAATGTAAATAACAGAAAAGGGATCGTCATTTTCATAAGCTACCTCCAAACCCAGAATAAAACCCCACTAGTCACATGACTACTACTCTTCTGCCCCTTCCTCTGCCCTCATAAAATTTCACCGTTAGCCCCATTTCCTCTGTAACTACACAAAAAAACAGAGGAAAAATAGAAAAAAAAAAAGAAATCCCTTTCTCAGGATATAAAAACAAAGAAAATGGAAGCTCAGAAGAATCTGAAAACTTTCTTCTCTGTTTTTGTTTTTCTTTCATAAAATGAACTCTCAATGATTACCCCGATTCTTACCCAGAAAAATTTATTCTTTCTTTCATGGCTGCTTCAAGCCTTTCACCGGAGCCAAGTCAAGAAGTGTTTTCGTGGCTGAAATCTCTGCCTTTAGCTCCAGAGTACCGGCCTACTTTGGCAGAGTTTCAAGATCCAATTGCCTACATTTTCAAGATCGAAAAAGAGGCTTCCCAGTATGGCATCTGCAAAATCATACCTCCAGTGCCGCCTGCTCCTAAAAAGACAGCAATTGGGAACCTCAATCGTTCGCTTTTGGCTCGTGCCGCAGCTAATACTAGCTCCGATTCGAAGCCGGCACCCACATTCACTACCCGCCAACAGCAGATCGGGTTTTGCCCCAGAAAACCACGGCCCGTTCAGAAACCCGTCTGGCAGAGTGGGGAGTACTACACTTTCCAAGAATTCGAAGCAAAAGCGAAGAATTTCGAAAGGAGTTACTTGAAAAGATACAGCAAAAAGGGTTCCCTTTCAGCTTTGGAAGTCGAAACCCTTTTTTGGAAAGCGACGGTTGACAAACCTTTTTCCGTTGAGTACGCTAACGACATGCCCGGTTCAGCTTTTGTGCCTCTGAGCTCAAAGAAGAGCAGTGGTGGAGGGAGAGAAGCAGGGGAAGGAGTTACGGTTGGGGAGACACCGTGGAATATGAGGGCAGTCTCGAGGGCAAAAGGGTCATTGTTAAGGTTCATGAAGGACGAGATTCCGGGAGTTACTTCCCCTATGGTGTACATTGCAATGTTGTTCAGTTGGTTCGCTTGGCATGTAGAGGATCACGACTTGCATAGCTTGAATTATTTGCATATGGGAGCAGGGAAGACATGGTACGGTGTTCCAAGGGATGCCGCCGTTGCTTTCGAGGAGGTGGTCAGGCTTGATGGCTATGGAGGAGAGTTCAATCCTCTTGGTGAGTTTACTGAACTATCAATTGTGTCTCCTCTGTTTCTTAGTTACCCACATGTTAAATACTTTCTGTTTACTCTGTATATGCAAGCAATAACCAATATTGGATAACATGGGTGAGATTGACTAGTTCGAGCAAAGGAAGAATAAACTTCATAGACTAGGTGGTTGAATTTTACCTTTTTTGAATGGTGAAGATTGAGGTTTCTAATAGGTGTTAGTTATCTGTTGGCATTGTAGTAAGTGAGCCTACTCTGTTCCTCGCCTATACTATTTTGTAAGGTTGGCTGCAGGATAATGTTAATTCTATGATGATAAGTTTAATCACAAGTTTTATCTCTATGTGAAGTACTTATCATTTACTCTTCAATTCTCTGTTGATTTAGACGTTGGGTTTGAAGGATTTTAGATTTTGAGTTTCTAGGAACTGGAGTATCATATCAGAGATTCCTCCTTTTTCATCTAATAAAAAAACTGTCATCTATGTCCTTTCTAAGGGGTATTGAGTAGTTATGAGAAAGACTTGTGTTATTTGATCTTGTGGATGCTTGTCTCATCAATAGCTGCGATGAAAATTTTTCTTTAAATGTATTTTGGTAGAGTAGTGAAGAACAGAGGTTATGGCATTTTATAGATTTATATGTATCTTCATATCATTGTGCTTGTGCGAGTCATTTGCTTATTTTTTCTTGTCCCCTTGTGTATGTGATTTGTATCCCTTTGAAGCTGTAGTGCCTGCAAAGCAATTAGGTTAAAGACTTGGCGTGTGGCTCGTGATTAAAATAGACCTTATTGACTATCTAGTGTATCCATGGTTTTTGACTTGCCATTTTGGATCAGGTTAATTTTAATCCAATGAAGTTACTATGCATTGATGTTATGTTGGTTTAACTAGAAAAGCAATTGAATCTCTCATATTTAAGTGATGGTACTGATAATTATATCTATCCAAA